TAACCTCATTGGCCTTTGTACTCGTGTTTCAATTTCTCTGTTCAGTCGCCCATCCTCTGTGAATTTACTTCCGAGGTACTTAAATTCTTGGACCTGTCTAAGACTGTTGTTGTTGATGTGTATCCTGAGTGGTTCTGGCTTTCTGCTTATTTTCATTGCCTCTGTTTTGTTGATGTTGATCTTCATGTTGTAGTTGTTACATTCTTCGTTTAATCTGGTGGTGTGGTGTTGGAGACTTCGTTCATCTTTGTGTGCCAAGCTTTGGTCATCAGCGAAGAGTAATTCATTTAGGGCGTCTGGTTCTGTGTGGGCCTCTTTTGTAATTCTATCCATATATATGATAAATAGTAGTGGTTATAGGACACAACCTTGTCTTACTCCGGATGTTATCTCGGACCATTCTGTGAGTTCCTCTGGCGTTCTTAATGTACTTACGTTGTTCTCGTAAATGGCACCGATGTTATCTAGAAGTTGACCTCTTACAGTGTAGTTTTCGAGTTCTTTCCACAGCTTGTTTCGGTTCATTATGTCGAAAGCTTTCTCCTGGTCGATAAATACTATATTTAGTTCCCTGTTGTGTTCTATTACCCTTTCACACATTTGTCGTAGGGCAAATATTGCGTCGGTGCATCCGATTGCTCTGATACCAAATACTCAATATGTCGTTGTCCAACATTTTTTTTTTTTGGGGGGGGGGGGGGGGTCTTTTTGTTTGTTTTTGTTGGTGTGGGTTTTTTGAAAATGTATCGCCATGCATTCATTAGGGCGAGAACTTTGCAAAGTACCAACCCTTGGAAAACTCGGGCGAAGCGGATAAACGCTTCACCGTCGAACGCAGACGAAATAATAATCGAGAATCTCCGTTTGTTTACTGGGAGGTTGTATACTTCTTTCTTTCTGTTTGATTGCCGTCACATCACGATCTTTGGTCACACTCGAGGATGAAATGGTGGTTACGAGTCCCATAACGACGAAACCACACACAACGCTTTTTTACATTTTTTTCTACATTTGCATTGGCACGATCCAGATCACAGCTTTTTTTTTTTCACTTAGCCTGCTTGGCAACATGACTAGTCGGCAATAAGCCCCCCCCCCCCCCCCCCACCAACCTCTCCGACCATCCGGGCGAGCTGCCACCCGTGCCACGACTTTAAATTATGACGAGATGGAATCAGGCGCTCGTCAGTATAGGGGCATATGGATTATTGGTATCATCTTAAAGCATGTCTATTTGCCTTGTTTTTGATGTAAAAAACATTCATATCTTAGATATAAGTCAAGGTATTGGCGATTGAATAAGATGGGGGTCGCCTCGTTCCAGAAGTAAGATCATCGAGAAAATGGCCACCAAAGTTGAGATTTTTCCTTAGCTTGAGAATCCGTGGAAACTGAAAAAATACTTCTTTTATGCCTTTATTCAACGTGTTTCAGTAAAATCTAGACAGAAATATGCTTTTAAAAAAAAAAAATTCGGAAAAAAAATGCCCAAACCTTCTGAAAAATGCCAGTTACTTGACTTTCATTATTTTGACGAGCACCTGATTTAAACCAGGCTGCCTCACTTATTTTAATAAAATTTGAAGTGGTTGGTGGGTGCTCTTGTTTGGTTTGCTCCTTTTTTTTCGATCTAACATATTATTTATATCGTCCGTACCTCTCCTCCTTTTTGTGTTTGTTATTCTCTTGTAACACATCTAATCCTTTGCACGTAAATAACCTTAGTATCTCGCAATGCAGGTGTCGTAAAACTCTTACTAAAACTGAATATTTGTTGGGGTTTTTTTTACCGGCGCCGATCTGATCTCCGAGGATGCGGTGGAGCTATAAAAATAGACCCAGAACCACAAGAAGAAGCCTTGGACATGCCTTTTTTGTGTCCAGAAGAAAGTGAGACCATAAATAGTAAAACAAGTCCATTGTAGTATTCTATTGTTTTAGATATGTACACAATAATAAGGAATTTATTTTGTATCCCTTGCCCATTTAAATTAGATTGGTACTTTTTTGGTAAGTGTTTTACGGCGCTCACAACTGCATAAGGTCATATGAGCGCGCGGGACACATTAAACTTTTTCGGTTGGTAGGAAATTTGGAATTTTGCCCGGGTTGCGGCCGAAGCCTACTCTTATCGATTTTAGACCATCAAGGGATCTTTACCAGGCGCAACTTGTATACGGGCCCTCCAAGATTTTCCGCCCTTGTCCGAGAAGGCTAGGTGTAGATCTTTCCTACCAGAAGATCATGGATGTGGGTGAAAGGCAGCAGTAAGGAGGAACCAAAGAGTAGCAGTAGAAAGGCTGCAGAAAGAGCCAGGAGCCCAGAGGAGGGGGCAAAGGAGGTGAGGGGGTGGGGGTAGAAAGAGGAGACGAAAGCAGACGATAGAACATTGCTAGAGAGCAGGAAAGAAGGTGAAAGGAGACAATTTTAGAGAAGAAAATTTTTCGGTCGCTACCCAGATTCGAACCGGGACGATTGAATGAGAGACCAACACCTCAACTTCTATGCCATGAGAGCCCCCATATGAGATTGACGCCACCTGATTGGTAGTAAGAAGTGCGAATGATAGTGTCCAAGAGTGTATTACGTGCATACTAAGCATGACAAAGTAACTTTTACAGATAGATATTTTAGGATTATATATGTAAGTCCTTGATCTGAGAGCGGTGATGATTTTAGAAATAATGGTGGTGATGAGTGATGATGTGGGATTACATTTAATAAGTAATGTCAGCGTTAGTCAGATCTTCCTTTGCCCCAGTGAGTCACGAGGGACATGGGTACCCTCTATCCCGTTCCCTACTGGAACCATCTTTATGGTCACCGTGAAGTTCCGAAATGGTGGGCAGTCTCGATTCAAAGGTAAGATTAGCGAGAAAAGTTGAGTTATTTCCTTAGCTGGAGAGTCTGTGGAAACTGAAAATGTGCATCTTTTATGCCTTAAAACAGTGTTCTTACATAAAATCCACACAGAAGTGTTTTTTTAAAGGGCATGAACGGTGTTGAGCCAAAAAACAAAAATGTGATAAAAATTCTCAAACCCGTTGAAAAATACCAGTTTCTTGACTTTCATTATTTTGACGAGCGCCTGATTTCACCTCACTGCCTCACTATAAAACTCGAAGTAGCATTTTACCACCTCTTTACTGTGTCTTCTGTTCAGCTTTCTTCCTCGAAGTGGATGGTTGGCGGGTGCTCTTCTGGGGTTTACTCCTTTTTACCTATCTAACATATCATTTATATCGTCCGTACCTATCCTCCTCTTGTAACACCTCTAATCCTTGGCACTTAAGGGGGGGGGGGGGCTACACCTGGAGGCTATCTCGCTTATTACTGGACCGAATTTTACCACATTTCACACATATAACAAGCATAGTAAGGAGTCTTGAAATCCGCAATCAAATTTGAGAAAAAAGTTTCGTTTCCATGGATACGCCGCCATATTGGATTTTATTGACATGTCTTACGTAATGAATACCGCACTTATCGCTCTTGGAAATTGATTGTTTTTTTGCATGCGTGTTTACAAACATTAGATCTAAAAATTTGTCTGTTGTTTTTTTCCTAATCGAATTAGAAAATTTTTAATGAATTTTTTCCTGAGGTAGTATTCAAGTTTGCGAAAAATCCGTGAAAATCCACACTCCGGACACCACCAACAAAAATCTATTCCATATATAAAAAATTCAACAAAAATTTTTTTTAGTATTACCTCTTCTCTTGATTCTGTGAAAATTTCATGAAGATTGGATGAAAAATGGTGGAGTTATTCAAAAAAGTATAGAGGAAAGTCGCATTTTGAGAAAACGGCCAATAAAGAAAAATAAAATACTGACTTTATGAGGAAATGGCGGTTACAAACATGTCCGGTACGGGAAAAAATACGGTTTTTGGGGGTTCTTATGCAATGAAATAGTTGTAGGAGAGGCTGAGGAAGCTAAAAATTCCTACAACTCAAATTCCATGATTTTGAGCCGAATTTTGATTTTGAGGGTGTAGCCCCCCCCCCCCCCCCCCCTTAAATGACCGTATTGTCTTGCAATGCAAATGTCGTAAAACTCTTACTAAAACCGGAAACAAAAATCTCCGTTTAAACTGAATATTTGTAGGTTTTCTTTTTTACCGGTGCTGATCTGATCACCTTGGATGCGGTGGAGCTATAAAAATAGACCCAGAACCACAAGAAGAAGCCTTGGACATGCCTTTTTGTGTCAAGAAGAAAGTGAGGCAATAAATAGTAAAATAAGTCCATTGTAGTACATGTATTTTATTGTTTTTGTTGTGTACACAATATTAAGGAAATAAATAAACAGTAGTCGAAACAGAGTTTCTGTCAATATATTTATTGTCTTCTTCTATAGACAATGAGAGAAAAAAACTACAAATGCGTATGTTATCGTCTTTGAGGATGAAAATCCTGGCCATTCCACAAATCATAAAGACGTTCTATTTTTCGGAACTTTAAAAAGGAAGCATAACTTCGTCACTCATTCAGATTTTCCAATTCTATTCTCCACCTAAAACGTAAGCGCAACAACGTCAAACTAAGAATTAATTTTAAAAAAAACCCATAACAAATTAATTAGTTTTACTGCTTTGTGTGTGATAGTTCGAAATATGCAGTCACATTGCCTTTAGTCTACTGCTGATAATAATATAATAATAAAATAATAATAATAATTGGAGATAGCATGTATTTTTGTATAGCGGAAGTTCTATTTCAACAACAGGCTCTATACGCTTTACAATCTAAAATATTGTCTCAGTAGACCTGATAACATTAGGGAACAATCTCAACTTCATGGGAAGCATACAATACTAGCTGCCATTTTACAGGCGCTAAAATACAAACAACCTAACCAAATATTTTGCTGTCCTTGCTATGGTCGGGTACCAATTAATAGTGAGGAGAATTTTTGTAAAGTACCTTTCCCAAGGACACAACGTCGGGCCTGAAGCTCACTCGAACCCCTGAACCTGCAACCTCACGATTACAAATC